GAGGCCCTGCCCGGGAAGAAAGTCTTCTGCCAGGTTTTTCCAAGGCATTCCCTCCTCAATTTCTCTTTAAACATAAAATGACCCCAGCCTGTTTACCTTTAGTACTTTTTGACATCACTGGTCAGGAACTAAAACAGATCCCAGGCCACAGCTATGTCCGGCATTCAGATAACCACCACTCCCCATCCGAGGCTGAGGACTCCTAGCAGTTGGCTTTCCCAGGGCAGCTTCTCGTCTTGTGGGCCTTCTCCCCCTTGCCAAAGGAGCAGCAATGCTTCCTAATTCCCTTTAGACTTTTTAAAGGCTGACGCCACCCTTTTCCATGACAGGTTCCAGCCATTCGGTTAATCACACATTCACTTAGCACCAAAGGACGACATGGTAGGAGCCCTGGTGGCCGTAAGGATTACATGTTGTCTGCTAACCTCAAGGTCAGCAGTTCAGAATCACCAGCGGGAGAAAGACGAGGCTATCAACTCCCGTGAAGATGTGCAGTCTCAGAAACCCACAGGGGTAGTTCTACTCCGTCCTGCAGGGAGGCTCTGAGTCAGAACTGACTAGAGTGCCAATGAGTTTGGTTTGTTCTTGAGGGATGTGATACGAACCAGAGATGCTTCTGGAATCAGGTAAGCCAGAGCTACTAGGTAAGAAAAAGACGGGAAAACATTCAAGTTGTAAAGGAAGAAGTAGAACTACCGCTCGTCACAGAAGGCCTGATTATGTATGTAGAAAACCCCAAAGAACCCACAAGAGCTACTAGAGTCAATGCATGCACACCACAGAGTGGCAGGGGCTAAGAGGAGCCTGCATGAGTCATCTGTGCTTCCGTACACCAGCAGTGAACAACCCGAAAAGGAAATCAGGGAAACAACTCCATTTGAAGCAGCCTCGAGAAGACCCAAACACCCAGGAACAAATTTAATCAAGGAGGTGCAAGACTCCTTTTACACGATAGGACCAAAAGAAATTAGACAAGGCCTACCTAAACGGAACTCCACACTGCATTGATAGACTGGCAGCCTTAGTGTTAGTAAGAAGTTCATACTACCAAAAGCAATCTAGAGATTGCACACAGTCCCTATCAAAATCCCAACAGCTTTCTTGGCAGAATTGGAGAAGCTGATCCCGCAATTCAGGTGGCATTGCCAGCCCCAAAGAACCAAACAACCTTGAAAAAGAACAAAGCTGGAAGACGCACAGTGACTACAAAGCTACTAATCCGTGGAACTCGATATTGGTCTAAGAATAGGCATATAGGCCGATGGAAGAGAATTGAGAGTTCAGAAAGCAACTCACACATCAATTGAGTGTGTGATATGGGGGTCAAGTCCATTCGATGGGGAAAGAACAGTGTCTTTGACAAATGGTGTTGGGCCAAAGCTCTCCACATACAAAATAATGCAACTGGACCCATACCTCACGCCACCCACAAAAATGAACTCAACATGGATCTTAAAACTCTAAACATTAGAGCAAATGCTAGAAAATTCTCCAAAGAAAATATGCAGATAGATCTTCCAGACCATGCAGATTCCTTTTTGTTCCCCAAACTCAGAGACCAGTCCAAAGGAACAGGATTTGAGTCCCTTAAGTTTGTGTTTGGGGAAGGGCTGCAGAGACGGAAATGCCGCCTGCTTCATTTCACGAGACACACCCATAGCCCATGGCAACAGCAGTTTCCAAGAAATCAAAGGAGTGGGCAAATCTGTGGTCTAAGATCTCCATAAAGTGTTAAAAAGCTATAGAAGCCACTCGGAGTACTAAGGTGCACCTGACTTAGCCCTGGTAGTTTTCCTCCCCTCACATGGATTTGAAGAACGGCTGCATCTGAATTAAAGACGCTGGTGAAGAAAACAGAACACATCAC